ATAGTGATCCCTTGTCTGAGGGATAGCTGGGTAAATTTTCCCCCACTTTGTAGGTTATTTTTTCACCTTATTGGTGTGCAAAAGCTTTTTAATAGGGTTAGATCCCAGTTGTTGATTGTATGATTTCCGGTGTGATCAGGGTTTTGTTCATGAAATCTTTGTCTATATCTATGTCTTCAAGAGTTCACCTGTTCTTTCTTTCAGTAGACTCAGTGTTTCTATTTTAATATTTGTATCTTGAAACATTTTAGTTTTGGTGCGTGGTGATAGACATGGGTCTAGTTTTAGTCCTTAGCAGGTGGCAAGCCACTTTTTCCTGCACCATTTATTGAAGAGAGTTTCTTTCAGTGAACACATTAGACCCCTTTGTCAAAGATAAGGTGGATGAGTGTGTTTGTAGTTGTTTCTGGATTTTCTTATCTGTCCTATGGATCCTCAGCTCTCTTTATCCTCAGTACCATGCAGGGTTTTTTTAAAATCATAGTAGCTTTACAGCATAATTTCAAGTCAGTGATTGTGATGGTCCCTGCGTTATCTTTGTTGTTTAAAATTGTTTTTGCTATTATAGGTCTATTCTAGTTCCAAATGAATTTTGGGATTTTTTTTTTCTATTATTCTGTGAGGTATACTAATGGTATTTTGACTGGAATTGCATTAAGTCTGTACAACAATTTTGGAATATGGTCACTTTCACCATGTTGGTTTTTCCTATTGATGAGCAAAGGATACATTTCTATTTTCTGATATTCCTTTCAACCTCCTTTGTCAGAATACAATAATTATTGATGTAGCTCTTTCATTTCCTTTGTTAGATTGGTTTCCAAGTATTGCAATTTTTGGTGCTATTTTGAAAGGTGTTTTTTCCTTAATTTCCCTCTCAGAGTGATGTTGTTTGTGCATAGGAATGCCATTTATTTTTGAGCATTGATTTCATATTCAGCTATGTTACTGAATTAGATGTAATTATCAAATGTAAAATCTTTTGGTGGATTTTTAAAGCACTTCTATGTGGAGTATCATGTCATCTGCAAATAATGATAATTTAACTTTTTCATTTCTTATCTTCCCAATTTTCTCTCTCCTATCTAATTGCTCTGGCTAATTTTTCCAGAATTATAGTGAATAAGAGTGGTGACAGTGGGTATCCTTGTGTTCTTTCTGATTTTTGAGTGAAAGATTTCAGTTTTTGTTTGTTTAGTATGATGTTGGTTTGATATAGGTGTCTTTTATTAGATTGGAATAAAGACCATCTATTCCAATTTTCTGTAGGTTTTTGTTTTCATGAATGTGTATTGGACTTTGTAAAACTCTTTTGCTGCATCTATTAAAATGATTATGTGATTTTTACCTTTGCCTTTGTTGATTTGGTGTATTACATTTATTGATTTGTGTAAATTGAACCATCCCTGCCTTTCTCGGTCATACAGAATAATCTATTCAATTATTTGCTGCATTCTGTTTGCCAGCATCTTGTTGAAGAGTTCTATGTTAATTAGGGAGATTTCCCTGTAGCTCTCTTTTTCAATTGGGGTTTTCTCTGATTTTTTTTATCAGTATAATACATACCTCCAGGAAGAACTTTGAGAGTATTGCTTTCCTTTCAATTTATTAAAGGGTTTAAAGAGTATTGACATTAGATCTTAGATGGCTTTATCGCTAATATCAAGGATTTCCCTGGAAATGTCTCTTCCTCAGAGATGTCTTCAAGGTGTAGGTAGTTCTTGGCCTTTGTGTTTATCCTAAGATTTTGCCTTCCCAGTTTATTGAGTATGAGAAGTTGCTATCTCAGTACCCCACTTTGGTACTGGGTTGTGGTGATGGTTATTACCTGATACACTCATAGTGTTGTCATACACAGAAGACATCCTAGCTAAAGTAGTACAATTAGCAACAATAATGGTATCAAATACCATCTAGCACCTGATAAGCTGTGATAACTTAATTTGGTACCTCAAAGTACAGAAGCAATCTCTACAGTTATATAACAAAATCCAGCATATATCAGGAATGTATATGAAACAAATTTTCTCTTAGTAGATTAATTTTATACTGATCAGGGGATGTTTATGAGGCATAATGAATTAAACAGCAGATGAGTGAGAAACAAATAAAGTAGAAGCAAGGCTGTAAGACCAAGGATGGTCATTCATGGTTAGGGAAATTGGAGGGGACACAGGAGAGAAAGAATAAAAGAGAAAGCAAAAGAATACTGGAACAACCAGAAAGAGAGGAGACTGTGTTCACTCATGTGAAAGTATTATAAAGTGAAGAGATATTGTTGAGGGAACAGAGAAGACAAATAGAGCAAAACAAAAACTTAAGATACGTAAATAGTAAAGAACAATAAAAAAGAAATGAACAAAAATAAATCACTGCAACCAGATTATTAAAGGAAAACCAGTCAAACAAAGAAAAATAAAAATAGTAAAATTGCCCTGGTGTCCACAGTTGTGTGGTAGTGTCCAAGTTGGATCCCAGAAGTGTACTATGCAACCCTTCCAAGTTGTAAAAGGATTTGTTCTGGGCATGAGGCTGATATTGGCCTCTAGATGTGGGGCCTGGGGTGGTTTTTAACTGACAGTTTTGGTGTTCATTTCTCCTACTGCAATCTGCTCTATGGAACTCTTCCCGTTGCAGTAGTGCCCTTGCATAGGGAAAGCCAGTGGGTTGCTCCTGGACCTGTGTACGTTTGACTCCATCTGAATCTAACACAGCTTCTTCTTTTCCAGACTACTGGCTCCTTTTACCTGTTGATCGTAGGATAGGAGGAGCACTTTTGATCTTCTGCAGGACAAGGCTGCTTGGTGCTTGACTGCTTGTTCTGCAGGGCCAAGGTGGTCTTTGAAGCAGAGTCTGGTTGGTTCCAGATCCTACATCTCAGGAGAATTCTCTCTCATCTGATTTCCAGCTGTCAGCAGTCCACTGTGACTGAAAGGCTCTTCTTTCCTTCTTCCACCTAAACTTTGGCAGTGAAGCAACCCAGGACAGTTTTGCTGCTGGGGTTTGCCTTGAATCTCTCACCTCACTCGCCAACTGCTGCCTCTGTGGGACTTCTCCAGAAACACTATCCTGCCATGTTTTGGGGCTGCTCCACTGGAGCTTGGAGGATGAGCTGTTCTGGATCTGTTCTCCTGGGGTGAAGTGTGCACTGGGTACCTTTTTATTCTTAAAGCTAGCCAGTCTGACTAGGGAAGAAGTAATCTCAAAGTAGTTTTAATTTGCATTTCCCTGATATCTAAAGATGCTGATAACTTTTAAAATATTATTTCTGGTCATTTGCTTTTTTTAAAGGTATATGTTCATTTGCCCTATTTATTGATTGAATTTTTAACTTGGGTGTTGATTTTTTGTGTTTTTAAAAAATGTGTTCTGGATAATCAACTTCCAACGGAAGAGTAGTTGGTGAAGATTTTTCTCCCATTTTGTATGCTATCTTTTTAATTGTTTTCCTTTGCTTTGGGGAAGCTCTACTATACTTCCATTTGTTAATTCTTGCTGTTATCTCCTGTGTTATTGGAGTCTCTTTAGGAAATCTTTGCGTACTATTCAGTTAGATTGTCATAGAATGTGAATATCAACACTTGCCTGCTAATTTGAAGACTATTGCAAAAAGGAGATTTTCATTAATATCTTTTTGTTGCTACTTTTTCTTTTCTTCTTGATGTTATCTATATAATTATTTTTCTTATTCCCTTCTCTCACATTCTAACTTTTCTCTTACATTCATTTTTTCTCTTTATGGATTTAAAACATTTGTTTTCACTTTGTATTTCACTCTAGATTTTTTTGTTTTTGTTTACAATGTTGGTAGTGTTGGTTATTTTTATTTGATTATTACTTTATTTCTTCACCTGATCTGTTTCTCTTTTCTTATTTTCACCTTTCCTCTTTGAGATGCTAGGGACTGAATGTGACACTTCAATCACCTTGAGTGTTCACATTTTGAGCTACACTCCCAGTATATCTGAGTGGTATTGCACCTTGCTCCAAACATGATCTGCCTCTTGAATCTTGGCAGGATAGTCACTGTATGAAATGATCAGGGTGCTCCGATGATATCCTTTCCTAAATCAGACATAGAAATGGGGGGTGGTGCTATGAAATCCATCTGAACACTTACTTCTCTAAAGAACAAACACAAATAACATAAATTTTGTGGGCTCTACATCTATAAGGAGTTGCAGCATTGTTTGTTCCCATAAGTTATCAGATCATACATTGCTGAAAATATTCAAGCTATACATCATAGGTCGTGATATCAGCCTTGTCACTCTCCATGAAAGAACTGCAACTACATTATTGCCTGATCAGAGGATAAAAGGTCCTGGCCTTGTAGCAGAATCTTTTCAATATCAATAGTCTTAACCCCTACTACCTTATAGGACCTTTCATTCTAACTTCATACCCCACATAATATGATGTCTAAGCCACATCCACTTTTATTTTGTACTGGGAATCGAACTTATGCTTGCCAGGAAAATACTGTGCCACTGAGCTATATCCCTGGCCCCTCCTCCCACTTTGAACTATTAGAAGGATTGCAGCCTTAAAAGATCTAAAGTGAAATTTGGTCCCTTATTCTGTAATACATGACATTGCATTAAAAGCCATTTATAATAGTCAAATAAGCTCAAGGGAAGCTACACTACCAAGACCAAACCAAATGAATTTACACTCAACACTACATAACAAGTGAACCTCCTATTGTCAAGAGAAAAATGCTTACTGAAAATTCCCCCTTACCAAAATTAAAGAGAGCCATTTCAACAGCTGTGAAAATCTCAGCATAGAAGCACAACTTCCCAGCTTGTTCTTAGGACCAAAGTTTTCCACACTGCTTTCCTTTGAGAAGATCAAAGTTCACTGAAGTTAAAGTATTATAAGGAGAAGATCTTACATAAGAAGGTATTGGATGAAAAAAAAAAAAGCTGTTGGATGAATTGAAGCCTGTTTGTAATCTGAGAGTTGGGTGTGGACTATTCAAATAGCAGGAGATAAACTGAGTAGATGTGGTTTGCAGATTTTAAGGGGTGCCAGGTGAGGTCTTTGGAAGAGAAAAACCTTTTTGCTTTTCTTTCTATTTTTTTTTTTTTTGTCATTTAAGACTATTTAATTAGATTGTGTGGGTGGGACTCTGGGACAGATCTCCAGCTCTCAAGCAAGACACACATTCCCTTGGAACAGAAAAGAAAGCACATAGGCCCTTGGCTGCTATCCCTCCCTCCATGATGTGGTTTTATGTTCTGGTCTCTGTCTCACTCACTGCTTGCACATCTTGGGGTAAGTGCTTCTGAAATATAATCAAAGGGCGCTGGGGAATGCATATTTACTAGTCCTGATTCTGGACCAAACATGTTGGAGCTGTGCACAAAAGAAACATTAGTCTGGATACCACAGTTGTGGTATCCACCTTCTTGAATAGAGTGTGGAGGTAGAATCAACCTATCTAGGAGGAAACTCTAACCTAAGATCCAGTTACAGGCAATAGACATAAAAGGGCCAGGAAATAACTTTAAAGTTCACATAGAGAAAGTAATTAAGTATATTTTCCCATTGATTCACAGATCTATATGGGTCATGATGGTGGTTTAGTAGAACATTAAATGCATGGACTCAGGAGTCAGAGTGAATGTCTAAATTTCAGTTCAGCAGTTCCAGACTGGGTGCCATTTTGCTATGCTTTGGTTTTTCCATCTCTAAAATATGGTTGACAGTGGTGCCTACTTTTGGGCTACAGTGAGAACAAAACAGATTCTTGTTTCTAAAGCAGTATTGAGGCTGTCCAATCAGAAAAGATGTGAGGAAGGGATAAGAGACTTGATTTAAAATAGAGTGCATTAATAGGAAATTTATCATATGTTAAATCAGACCATGATTCATTGGCCACTGAAAAGGACATTTACATTTCCTAAAGGTCAAGTCACACACTGGGACAGGGAGCACAAGAGAAAAAGCACAGAATCCATCAGGAAGCAGAGGAAGAGGGGGAATTTGAGGAAAGCCTTTCGATATGGACTCAGCAGGAAGGAAGAGAAATGCAGAGAATGTTAGAATTGTATTGCTCGAAATTGGGGGGTAGGGGCTCTGCTAGCTGCCTGGATTTTGGATCTGGGTGACTGAAGCAGGTGCATGTTGGCCCTGGGTCTGAGAACCAGATGTAAGAGGTGGTTGGGGTGTAGCCTATGGATTGGTTGGACCTATGCGAGATAGTACCTCTATGATCAGCAAAGTTTCTAAAGTCAACACATTAGATACAAAAAATAAATCCATGGTGTGTCAGGGCTATAGCAAGGCACCTGAACACACATCCATGCCATTTTATAGATAAAGAAATTCAGACTCAAAGCATGGTGTACTCTGCCAAAGGCAGCTGGAAAATCATGCTTAGGTCTATCTTGGATTCCTGAAGTCAGACCGGGCTCAGACATTAGTGCCCTGAGCATCTAGATTGTATCATCTTTTTGTCAGTGTGACACAGTGAGAGGCGTGGAACTGAGTTATAAGAAGGGACCTATAGGTAGAGTGAAACATTCTATTTTTCCTGGTTACCCTGGACATGCAAACATATTTCCATCTTTAGAATGTCTGTATGCTCTGATTCTAAATCCTGTTTGCTCTTTTGCTCAGTGAGCATATTAACATATGTAAAAAGGCATTTTTGGAAAAGTAATATAAAGAAAATTGTATGGTTGGCAAACACACAGTAAGTGCTCCCCATATGCACACTCCACGTGACATAAATGGTAACTATTTTATCATTCTTGTTTGTCTCTGTTACCCTGTCCAACCATATTTTTTACCTAGGACAGTATGAAGGTTATCACTGGGTTCCATCTAACTCATCTAGTTTAAAGGTCATCATTGATCTAACACAGACCACATCTAGTGATTTGTGTTTAGACTTTATCCTCTCCGATCTCTTTGAAGCACCGAGCACTCCTGCCAATCCCTCCTCCTTCCTGGGCTGCCCTGATGTGGTGCCCTTCTCCTACCTTACTCTGGTATGAGCTCTATCTCAGCTGCAGCTGTCTCTAAACTTTATTTTCAGCTTGTTCTTTTCTCTCACAGGGGTCTGCACTGAATTCATACACACACTCATGATGTGCACCTTCACATTCAAGTGAGTGCCACTGCCTGCCTCTGACCACTTCCTTTCAGTCCTGTGGTGACCTTGTCCTGTGGCATTTTCTTACTAGGATTCACACTGACTTCCTCACTGAATATGTCTGACATGGAGCTTTCATCTTTTACTTGCTCTTTTATCCCCTCCTTTCCCATCTCTAGCTCCCATATCTGGTCAGGGACCAAGACTTCCTTCATAATTCCTCCTTTATGTCTCCATATGTCTTCATAAATATTTTTTCTAATTAAAAAAGGACCAATTTTCAGCACAGAAATCTTTGGCTGGAAAAAGAAACCAGCTGTGTCTCCATCCCTGGACATCTCCAAGAACGTGCATTACAGGAAGTAAGCTTTGGGATGATTAGTAATACTTAGCAAGAAAAAGGAAATTTGCATGGGATCATTAGCAACCCTGTTTGTTTGTAACATTGTTGCCCATAGTTTTCAGGATTACTGGCTTCTGGTTTGTTAAAACAAATCTTATTCTTTTTTTTTTTTGCTGGTTATGCAATTTTAGGGAGATGTTGACATACATATTTTTTTTGAAAAGTAACATATTGCGCAAACAAGTATTCAGAAGTCATGTCTTAGGAAGGACATTCTGATGTGTTGAGGTTAGAGAGGCCCCAGAGAAAGGAAGAATGCTTGGGTAACCAGAGTCAAATGTCTGAAAATCCACCTTGTTCATGAAGAATGATCAGGTTATTTTCACTGGATGCATTGCACTGGAAATCAAGGGTGAAGAGGAAGGAGCAGGGAAGTGAGGGAGAATTGTCTGCTGTATAAGAATAGAGTGAATGGAACAGACAGGACATTTTCAGTCCTCTAAATGAACCCATTCCCAGCAATCTGAGATTATCATAGAAGCTTATTGTATCCTTTCCTTCAGAATTGTTCCTACTCTAATTAGCCAACTGAATAAAATCCAATCCCTCTGCCTGTCAGTTGAGCCCCTTATTCCAAATACCTGTGCATTCCATGATGATCTTCCACTGTCCACGGACTACATATTGTGGTTTTCTTAGGCCACTCAGGGCTGTGTTTTGTTGTCTGTGGGCCTCTGTACTTTCTTTTATTCCTTCTTCATCCATTCCCTTCCATCTTTTCCGTATGATATCAATCTCCTGAGAATAATGTCCCCTCCTTTTCATCCTTTTATCCGGCAACAGCTCAGCATCAGCTTGCTAATGAGTACACACTTCTAAAGGCTTAGAGGACATGAAAGTTATCTTTCATTGTCAGCATCATCTAAGCTTTTAAATTTCTTTTAGGATGGTTTCTTTTCTACCTCCACTTCCACATTACTCCTTCAGTTGGCCTTCAGAGCTGGGAAGGACAGTGTTCCGCACCGCCATAATACTAAGAAGAAACTGAGGCCCAGCAATTTTAAGTGACTTTGTCAAAGTCACATGTTTAGAAGGAGACAAAGCCTTCCTGGAGTCTGAGCCTCACCTTTTCCCTCTGACGTGCTCTTTTTTCCTTTCTATGTCCTGCAGGGCACACATCCTCGCCACCTGTGGTGGACACTGTGCATGGCAAAGTCCTGGGAAAATATGTCAGCTTGGAAGGATTTTCACAGCCTGTGGCTGTCTTCCTGGGAGTCCCTTTTGCTAAGCCTCCTCTGGGGTCCCTGAGGTTTACTCCTCCACAGCCTCCAGAGCCATGGAACTATGTGAAGAGCACCACCTCCTACCCTCCCATGTAAGTTGATGAGGGTGGCTTTGTCATCTTCCAGTGCGGATGTTTTTCTCAGGGTGATGTAGGAAAGAATTAAAATATGCTGATTGGCTCTATTTTGTTCTGGAACCATCATGAACTTCTAAAACATTCCAGAACTATCACATCTTTCTAGATCATTTTATTTAGCACATAATTATAAAGCACCAATTCTGTGCCAAGCATGTTTTCAGTTTTTAGAATTCACTGGAGAACAAAACTTTCCAGAAGTGGGCAGAAAAGTAGGAGTCAACATGGAAAGTTAAAAATTAATTTGGTAATAGGACAAAATAGGATACATGTGTTATGAAGTTGAACAGTTCAAGGAGATAAGAGGTAGTGTGGTAATGTCTTCTATTTTGAGACCAAGTTGGCTAGGTACTTGTCAATACTAGTGAAATGAGATTCTTTCCCATGTTTGACATTATAATTGTGTTTTTATAAACGTTATGCTCCTTGTAGTTGGAAAAATTCCCCAAGATAGGAGTCTCAATGCATCCTTTGTTGATTTTACATTTTCTACTTAAGAGGTCCATCAACCTGTCATTTGAGAACCTCAGTGACTCAGGAGCTTGCAGGCAGCCATTCTACCACCTGATTCCATTGAGCACTGAAATGTTGCTTATAATGTAGTTGGGAAAATAAGCTCTACATAGTAAGGATCTATTTCCTATGCAATCCTTGCCAGCTCTCTAGATTCTGTAAGGTACTCAGGATTCTGTAACGATCTTTGTGCCTTGTCTTTCTTACCTGTAAAATAGGGATACAAAGAGAATCTGTGCTAGGGGTAGATTCTGTGAGGTTTAAATGAGTGAGTACATGAAAATAATTTAAATCACTGACACACTGGGGAACTCAGAATATGTTGCAGGCTGTAATCCATGTTGGATCTTAGAGATCTCTTATTGGGACAGACTATAGTGGTTGCCTGGGGCAGAGTAATGATGGAATGTTAGCATGGAAGGGCTACTGGATCCTTACAGAACAGAATGATTGGGCCCAGAACAAAAAAGAAATTTGCCTATGGTCAACCAGTACATCTACGGCTGAGTACATCTTTCTGAAATGTAGTTTTCCTGAAGTTATCCTGAAATTTCATTCTGAACGGTTGAGTATAATTTCTTACATTTTACAGAGTTCTAATTAAAGGAAGTCTACTAATTATTTCAACATGATTACTTGGTAGATGAACAGGGTTACCATCCAGCACAGGAAAGAATGGTTCTACAGGAAATGTCATCTCCCATGGAAGAACAGCACATGGGCAATCTCTTGTCCCTGGAGCAGTGTATCTTAAAAGCTATGGAAAGGATAGAGTTGCCCATTGCTTCACTATCTGCATGATATGAGGAGACACTGGAGTCCCAGGGTTCCTACTGGAATCTCCAGACAGCTTTCTACCCATTACAATCACTTCAGGCCAGTGATGACAACTTCATTTACAGGTTTAAAACTCCATATACTAGAAACAGCTGCGGGGGGGGGGGGCTTTCCTAGTTTCAACCTAGTTGAATCTCTGGTGTTTTTCCTTCCTTCCTAGGTGCTCCCAAGATGCAGAAGGAAATAAGATTCTCTCTGATCTCTTCACCAATAGAAAGGAGAGCATTCCTTTCACGTATTCTGAAGACTGTCTGTATTTAAATATTTATGCTCCGGTGGACTTGAAGAAGAAAAGAAGTCTGCCGGTAAGCATGGCACCACCACTGGCCAAGACTTGTGAGGTTCAGTATCTGGAAAATTTGAATACAAAATAGAAGAGGATGAAGTCAGCTTGGGGTAAAAGCACTACAGGTTCTGAAAGATGGGCCAGATCTTCCTCTCATCATAGGAAACGCAAAGTTTTCCTTATCTCAGCTTCCCCTATTAACCTCAAGTATCTGGGAGGAGTTTGATGTACATCTGGAAAGCCCACCTTAATAACTCTAAGTTTCCTCAGACTAATAGAAGAACAAGAATGAACACCCAGTTACTACATTAAGGATACGATTTCTGGAGCAGCTAACGCATAATTTTCAAGAAGTTAGAGCTAGAAGGAACCTTAGAGGAAATGGAAAAACCCAACAGTTTCTTTTCATCAAGTAGAGAAATTGAGGCCCAGATGGGGAAAGGGAGGTCACAGCACAGACTGCCAATACAACATCTACAGTTTCTGACTTTTAAACCAGTGTTATTTTGACAGAGATTAGGAAATAGAGCATGTGTCTCATTTTTCTACACAAAGTACCTGAAAGGACTTTCACTGTCTTGTGAATACTGTCACTGCCTAGTGACAGAGGTGGTGTGGATGAAACCTGAATAACCTCAGTAGAAATTTCCTTATGTTTTGGCCAATCCTGTGAGATTTCATGATGGTTTACTTCCCTCCCTAATTACCTTTGGCACAGGCTGATGGCTCAGTGACTCAGCACTTCCCAAAGACTAAAAGACCAAAGGTGAGACAAACCCACCTTTGGTCAGGTGCATGGGGGTAGGGACAGGAACACATGCTGGCAAAGAGGAAGCCCACAGTTCATGAGGTGCAAAAGGGAGTGTCAGTATCCATCCAGTTTTTTAGGAAAATCTTGACATGGACTCCAGGAGTGTGGATGAAGGATGTCATCTTGGAGGTTGGTCTTGTTTGTGTTTATAAGGAATATTGAGGTAGGGAGTAATGTTCCCTCATTCATTCACTCCTTCTGTTACATAGTGTTAACGTGCACACAGTTAGATTTGGGGGTTACAAAAAGGAGAAAGAAACCATGAGAAACACAATCCTGCCCTGAAAGAGATTACCATTTGGGTTGCGGAGACATATAAACTTCTCCAGCATATCATTGTTGACCAGCCCTTGGGCTCAGCTTTCTTTTAAAGATGCTTGTGTTTCAGTTCCTGCCCTGGAGAGAAGCAAGGAACAGAGATGAAAGGAAAAGGGTCTTTGGGAGCCTGGAGGAAGGAGTCCCACCACTCCCAGGTATAAACACAGTGTTGAGGACTAGGGATTTGAATCTAAATCCTAAGTCTGCCTTTGGGTGACCTAGAAGCTCTGACAATTTCTTAATTTTTGCGAATGTCTATTTCCTCAAATAAAAATGATGGCATGAGTATTCAGTGATGACTGTCAAGCTTCACTCAGTCCTGGCTGAGTACATACAGGCAGCACTGATCACACACTGAGTAGGGCTGGAAGGATATTCTTGCCTGAACAGCCAGATTACTGTGCTGTACCTGTGGGTTGCTATCAGTAGGTAACTCAGTACCTGAGTTCTGGGGCCAGATTGTCTGGTCAAGTCTTGCTGCTACCACCTTTAGCCATAGGATGTTGAGCAATAAAGTGGCCCAATTTTTTATTTCTCAATTTTCTTACCTTTTGAATAGATATTTTTTAGTACTCAGAACACTATTGGTGTGTAGTTGATGTCTAATCTATTTTCTACTTGCAGTACTATTAATATTATTTTACTCACTCTCATTTCTTTCCTGGTATGTGAACTTTTAAATGCAAAGAAATGCTTTATGAATTGGTCTTTTTACTATACCACCATTTTCAGCTCTCATCACAGTCCCAGACACATAGTGTCATATAATTTTAGTCAAATGACTGAAGACATTCTACAGGAGGTGAATGTGAAGCTGGGCTGAAGATGTGTGGGATTTAGGCCACAGTGGAGGCACAGTGGAAGCATGGTAGAAACATACCCACTGGGGATGTCCTTAATTATTGATATAATGGAACAACACAGGAAATGAAATTCTCCACTAAAGAGTTAAGTGAGATAAAGCTAAAACCCAAGGGCTTCTTCTTTCCAGTCTATACATTCAGCTGATTGCATCATTTAGGCATCAGAATGGTGGAGTTTTGGGGAGAACATGACATCCTTGGTCTTTGCTTATTTTTCATGACTTTCTCATTTTAGAGAGCCTTGTCAGGACATAGGCCATGTGTCTGGGGAGAAAGGCAGGGTAAACCAGTATGCATGGAGTATGGTGATGGCCTAGGCGCAGCTGGTAGAGCTGGGAAGAAGAGGGACTGCGTCTTGCAATATGGCTGGTGTTGATGGAGTTTGGGTAATGGCTCCCTTGAGTTACAGGCAAAATATGGTAAGTGACAAAATCAGAAAATCCCTGAGGTCTTTTCTAATAGCATTTTTTGTAAGCAGTGTGGCTGTGTTCTTTTTGTACAGGTGATGGTGTGGATTCATGGTGGTGGTCTGGCAATTGGTAGTGCATCAACCTATGATGGACTGGCCCTCTCTGCCCATGAAAATGTGGTGGTGGTAACCATTCAGTACCGACTAGGCATCTGGGGATTCTTCAGGTAAGACATTGAACTATTTTTTGCACATTATCTTCTGTGTTGGTTTATTTTATATTGATGTAACAAAGTACCAAAGACTGGCTAATTTTGTTTAAAAACAAAAATTTTAGTTCATACTACCTCTGTGGTTTCATCTGATTTGTCTTTGGTGAAAGCCCCTTGGCTGTGCTGCAATGTGGTGGAAATTAGGAAGGGAATCTTCAGCAGAAAGGTGAGCTCACACCATAAATAGAAGCCAGAGAGCAGGATCTCAGACCTTTTTGTTCTTTTATAGCAACTCATTCTTTTATGAGCTAACAAGCATCCCATGAGCTCTATGTTAGTCTCTCTTAAATATAGCAGTCCTAATAATTTAATCACCTTCCACTAGTCTTTATCTTTTACAAGTTCTATCAACTCTTGACTGGCACATTAAGGATCAAGGCTTTAGCACATTAACCTCTGGGTTACAAATCACATGCCAGCCAAACCACAGTAGCTGCCACAGGATTGATGTGAGGTCTCAGCTGTAGTCATCCCATCCCCCAAAACACCTTTTAAAAAAGTTCTTATTAATATATCCACTCCTTCTATTATTGGACCCCACTGAAATTTCCGTTTACCATTCACACTTGTTTATTTGCTTCTGAGCTTTTGTATGGGCTGTCCATGGAATGCCTGCTCTACTTCCTATTCATCCTGCAAGGCCCAGGCTCACATTCCTGCCCCTGTAATACTCATCTCCTTTTTACCTGTGTTATCTGTCAATGCCTAGAAAGGTTTCAAAAATTATCTTCCCCACTTCTCCTTCTGTGATGGGGTACATGCTGCACATCTACTCCTAGGAAAGTAAGGAGGGGCACTGTCAAGGTGGGAGTGTAGCGAGTGCTTATGCAGGCGGATTCTCAACTAACTATACTTCCAGGCTGCTCTCACAGAGTCAATAATGGTCTCCACTGATGCCTGGATCTACCTAATGGGACCTCTTCACACCACCAACCAATAGCCACTCCCTCCTCCCTACAGTGCTTCATTTTCCTAGCTCTGGCCACTTCCCGCCTCCTGGCCTACTCCTTCTTAGCACCTCTCCTCCCCTACCTCCAGTTTCTATGTCTCCCTCTCCATTAATCTCTGGGCAACCTCAGAAGCATGTTCACAGCTCCTTTTTTTTTTAGTAGCATCCACTTGTCTTTTAGTGCCAGGTGCCATCTTAGCTACCTTCTCCCATATCCATGGATGTCTACAAAGGCTGCTTTCTGTACACTGACAGTCCCTGAGGTTCACTACTTTTCACCCAACAATGACTCTTCCTCTCTTCCCTCAAAAGTCTCTGTGCAGCCACCAAACAGCTCCTTCCTCCCTTTTCTTCAGTGTAAAGCCCTGGTAGAGAGCCTGGACTCACCACTTTTTCTTACAAGTAATGTCCGTATGACTAGCAAAGCCTTTTGGTTCTAACTTTTAAAGCCATATTCATCCACTTACTTTTCACCAATCTTAGCTTGCACCATAATTAAAGGCCTAGACCTTTAATTATTTTTCTGACTTACATCCTGAATTAAAACTACATATTTTTATTAACCTGCTATTTTTACACAATGGATGCTTCCTATAAAAACTAGACTGCTAGTGTGATAGATGGCTTAAATGATATCATGTCTCTTAGGAGGGTTCCTATATTACTTGCCATGTTGCAGAGTCCTAGTCAAGGCTTTCAGTAAGCTCTTTAGTTGCACCTTACATTAGCCTCTCATGTTTTCTTCTCTTGTCCCTGGGATTTGTGTACAGCCTACTTCTCCTAACTGAAATTACCTTCACTGGTAATTGATAAGGCCTATATGCTCATTTTATCCTGATCTCTACCTAATGTTTTTCCTCAGAGACACTTTCCCTGGCCATGAGATCTGAAATATCACCACACTGTCCTACAACTAGTTGTTTATTAGCTTTTTTTCCCTCAGAATACTTTCAGCAGTTGACACTGTATTTTCTTTTAACCTTCTATTTATTTGTGGTCTGCAGTGTGACCTGAATGTCATCAGAGATTTTTGTTCACCTATTTTTATAAAAGATGTGATCTATCTCTTTGATCTGTTTTGGATGCTTGGTAGATCCTCAGTAGTAGCCAGGAGGATGAGTGCAGATCTCTCCCTAGAACACTACTACAGGAGTGAGAAGCAGGTGACCCCTGTGTCAGGTATGCAGTCTAATCTCTTTCAGGAAGATTAAGTGAAAGACCCTAAACTGCTTTGGTTCTTGAGAGCACTACTGTGATAGTTCTGTTTCTCTCTCCCACTCTATCCCTTGCAGCACAGGGGATGAACATGGCCAGGGGAACTGGGGTCACTTGGACCAAGTGGCTGCACTGCACTGGGTCCAGGACAACATTGCCAACTTTGGAGGGAACCCAGGCTCTGTGACCATTTTTGGAGAATCAGCAGGTGGTGAAAGTGTCTCTGTTCTTGTAAGTATTCTTGTTACCAGACTGTCTTAGCTACTTTTCTTTGTCCTGATACAAAATACCTGATACCCAAAGTTAAAAGAGTAAAGGTTAATTTAGCTCACAGTTTATAGAAGTTTCAGTTCATAATCATCTGGCTCCAAGGCGGGATGACATGATAGACTTCATAGAAGAGAAACACTTCATGGTAGGCATAAGGTAACAAAACAACAAAGAATGACCACAGCTCTTTCTATCTCTTAAATCTTATCCAGGCTATTTAGGGCAAGTGACTCTCACACCCTTAATCCTAGTGCCTTTGATCCTAGCATTGCACCATGAATCGATCCCAGGCTCACACACTCTAAATCCAGTCACCTATGAAAAAGCCCCGTCTATGACTCCATGGAGCTTTGGGGGAACATCTAGACACAAACTATAATGAGGAATTCAGGTCCAGGGTTGATATAGTTGCTGATAGAGCCTATTGGAAATCAGTTAATCCAGTCATGTGTGTCTGTGCTTATAAGACTTAGATCTAGAGCTGAGTCTACTCAGTGCCCAGCATCAAATTGTGAAGAACTAGGGCCCCACACTCTTTGGACTGTAGTGGGATTGGGCTCAGGTTAATTTTATGGGACCCTAAGAATCTTCAACTTTAGCCTTTAGTAGTGGCTTTCCATTTCTTCCTCCTTGATTTTTCACTGTACTTTCTAATCATTTTTCACAGTAGGGCTCACCTTGATTCTTTTGGGCAGAGCAATGAATATAAACTATATATAGCAAGGGGAAAGGACATAAGTTGGATAAAGTATCATTTGGCTCCAGACCAGATGTACATACTAAGGGGTCTTGAGCACTGAGAGAAGTCAACAGTGCTTCCTCAACAGTGTCCTGATAGCTTATCCAGGTCCAAAAGGGAGGATAGCACTCTTCGGGACTGTGGGGCAGTGCAGGACTTGGGGAAACAGGTGAACAGAAGTAGAGGAGAGATGGAATACAAGTTTTGATATATAGACCTAACCTTGAATCATGAGATGTCTTGCTGGTATGGGGAATGAAGCCTGGGGACACTGATGGAATTTACAGAGGGTACTGAGAGCCAGAAGATATCATGTAAGCACCTGGTGTAGAGTTCAGTGTTAGCCTTATTGCTTTATTTTTACATGAGTTTTTTATTTCCTAGTTGAATACTCAGAAGAAAATGTTACACATATTTATAGTAGAGAGAAAGGAAAATAGTTAAACTCAAAGAAGAAAATGGCCACTATTCCACCCTCTGTGAGTAGTCACTGTGGACTTTAAAGTATGTATTTCCACAGTGTTTTTCACAGTCCATATGTATATATCCATTTATACACACCTTAGTCCTCTTTTTAGCTATCCATTCTTTTTTTCTTGCTCTCTTGGCATATCTCTTTCTGTCTCAGTTACTTCATCATTTTAACATGTAGTGTAGCATAAATATTTCCTTAAAATTAAGCCTCTTTAGATATTCTTATGTTTTTTATGCATAGTATTCTATATTATGAATAAAAATTATTTGTATATTCAATATATAGCACTGTGGGTTATTTTTAATTTTTCCTACTTCAAACAGCACAAAAACTCTTAAATATTGTTGTTCACCTCATTATCAGTTTTCCTTTCCTTTCCTTTCCTTTCCTTTCTTTTCCCTTTTCTTCCCTCCCCTAATCCTCCCTTATTCTCCCTTTTCTTTTTCCTAAGTTGCACATCAAACCCTGGGCCTTGTGCATGCCATGTCAGCACTATATCCTGAACAATATTTTCATAATAGTTGTTTTTCTTAAAATAAATTCCCTGTAATGCCAAGTTTGAAGCAGAATTTCTTGCAAAGTATACAGAAATGCTTTTTCCAAAATTTTGGCTGTTATCAAGGGCATATGCCACATATTTCTAGTATTATCCCTTACTCTGGACTAATTACATCCCTTCAAGTTTCTCCTTGAAGGAGAAACACACACACACACACACACACAGAGAGAGAGAGAGAGAGAGAGAGAGAGAGAGAGAGAGAGAGAGAGAGAGTTTGGGAAGCAAGACGGAAATGTGAGGAGATGTCATATCTACTGAGTGTAACGTCTGCAGTTGAGTGGGTAGCACGGGAGTGGGTAGATGGAATCTTAAAGAATATGAAAATCATTGACCCACTGGACCATGAGCATCAACTCTCCTCCTCTCCATTTCCCTCTCAGGTATTATCTCCCCTGGCCAAGAACCTCTTCCACAGGGCCATTTCTGAGAGTGGTGTGGCCCTAACCGGTAATCTGGTCATGAAGAATGTTAAGCCTTTGGCTAAGGTAAGTCTCATTCTGGATAAGAGAAATGTAATGATTACCCTTCCCTATGAATAGGGGAACCAAGGTACAAAAAGATTGAGGGGCTTACTGGATAGCAAATAGCTAGAAATAAAAGATCTGGGATTTGACATCAGACAGTGAAGTCCTGAATGTGAGCTTTGTGTGCCCATGACAAACAACCTGTCTTGAGACATCAAACTATGAATATATATAATATATAATATATAATATATATGTATATATATATGTATTTAGAGATATTTACTGGATCATGTCGTAACTAACTTTATGAGTGTTGAAAGAAGCAACACCCTTTGGGATTCAGAATGCATACCTACTGGTATAGAATATTTGCAGCTATCTCCAGCTTCAACTGCAATACAACCACAATTGAACAAATACATGGATAAATAGATGAAAACTAGCAGATAGGTTATGGATGTGTCAGTGTGGAAATGCTTTTTCCAAAAATTTGGCTGTTACCATGGCCATATGCCACATACTTCTAGTATTATCTACACTGATGGAGAGAAGTGACATTGCCTTTGAACTATATTTTCACTTGTACTATCTACAGAAAATTGCTGTCACTGCTGGGTGTAAAACCATCACATCAGCTGTCATGGTTCACTGCCTACGCCAGAAGACAGAGGAAGAATTGCTAGAGATCTCACAGAAAATGGTAGGTGCCTCCATTCCAGTGGCCTTACCCTGTCTACTGGACCCCATACTTTATCCCTTCCTTAAACCATTTGGGATGGTTTCTTACCTTTCAGTAGTTCTGTTAGGATATAGATATAAATTGGGACATAATTTTTCCTTTTTTTGTTATTATATTTTGTCCTTTTGAGACAGGGTCTTGCTATGCAGTTCAGCCTGGCCTTGAGCTCACTTTGTAGCTCAGGCTGGTCTCGAACTTACAACAATTTTCCTGCCTCAACCTCCTATTTACTGGAGTTACAAGCATGCACCAGCACACTTGGCTCCTTTTTTGTTATTAATTAGTACAAATGTAAAAAATGTCCAATAGCAACATGACTTAAAATTATATAACCACCCCCAGTTCTTTCAATTATACATTTTGATATTCTTATTTTCAGAATTGAATATTCTATATTACTGTAAGAAACTATCATCTTGGATTTGGGGATGGGTATAGTTAGTTCAGGTTTTTCAGAAAAGAATGACAGCTAATCTTGGTGGATTTAGATGCTAAAATTTACAAGTAACGTAGCAGTGGCCTATACCAGATTTCTGGTAACTTGAACTCAATTAGAATGACTTGTATCTATTATCATTCAACTATCATCAGTTCATTCATGTATCCATCCTTCTGTCCATGTAATTCTTTAATAATTTCTTCAATCCAGTATTTATCTATCCATAGCTTTTCATTTGTCTATTTTCAATGAGGCACTTCAATCCCAATAGGTACCAATGAACACGTCCATGCTCTTTCACTTGGCACTCCAAAAGCACGGACACATCCATCACCTATCTGCTATCTGCTATTTTTCATCTGTTTATCCAATTATGGTTGTATTGAGATACCTGTCCATCCATCTCTCCAAGCTAATTATATGGAAGTCTGCTGTCAGCAGAGGCGACCTGAACATAAGTTGACCATAGTGCCTTCTCACAGAGAACTATCCAAAGAGAGGTAAAACCATGTACTTAGTGGATTAAGTGTAGTGAGAGTACAAAGAACAGACATATTTGTAATAGCCAGCAAGGCTGCTTCTCAGGGAAAATGACATTTGTGCATTGATGGGCAATTCTTCTATTACTGCAAAAGAAACTTAGCTGGACAAATATCCAAAGAGAACAACATCCAAGGCTCATGAAAATCATTCCCTTTGTGGAGGAAGTTATGAGCTCAGAAGTTACCTGAACTTCTTAATTTTTTGTCTGGATCTCAACACAAGAAATGTCTCTATACCTCCAGGGAAAGCTTCTACCACTGGGTTTTGAGATGAGTCCATGAATATACATTTAACATGACCTCTGAACTGATGTATCAGGTCAAATCAGTCAACCAAGACATTCAAAGAATTAAGGCACTGCTATTTTTCTAATATTTGGGAAAAAGGAATAATCATTTTTCATGTGGCACAAGAGGACTCAGCTTATGGAGAAGTAGTTGGTGACTCTAGGATAATTCAGAAAATATGTGATCCCAGGACATCTTTCTGAGTCACTGTGGAAATGCTTCCATGATTGCTACTGTCCTCAGTACACACACACACACACACACACCCCTATCTGACTTCTGGGAACTACCCCTCATAGTGGAGGCATCTCCAGTCATTGCTGTTCACATATCTATGTCAGACCTATTAGGTAATGCAGACAATTTCAGTCCCCATGAAACCTTGCAATCTTGTTGAACATACAGCAAAGAAAAGCATGAGCTGATATGTGATTCACTGAGTTTGTTTGAATCAGAGTTTACTAATACAAAATGAGAAAATTAATTTTAAAGTGGCCAAAAGAGAAATGGATTTTGATGTAAAGCAGTTTTGGCTGGATACACAAGCTCTGAAAATATTGAAAATTTATCTGTCTCAGTGACATAGCTAAAACTCTTCTTTGTTGGTTTCTTTTGAAGTATGTTTATTCCTTGGGGAAGTAAAAACACGGCAACTCTCTGGACTTATATCTGTTTAGAAGTCATGTACCTTAAAATTATAGCATTAGTTTTGGTGCATACCCTGTTGGATTGATCCTGGAACATGTACTAACCTCCTTCCTTGCACTAACCTCTAAGTTTGGGGATTTGGAGATCCCAGATCACATATTGGCATCTGAAATAATGAAGTGGGAGAGAGAAGAGTGAAACAGGGGCTGAAGGATGATGGGAACGCCATCTCTAGCCACTGCACTCCCTTTCTTATCCCATCAAATATTGAGACTGTCACATTCCTGCCTCCACAGTCAACTCTTCCTTTTCTCCCCAAAAGAAAAATTGCAATAACGTTACTATGGGTGAGCAAGTAGGGAAAAAGATAAAGAGAAGGGTAGGTACCAACAGCAGTCATCCCTTCAAGAGCTCCAGGACTTTTGACTTTAGCATCTCAGGATTGAACCTCCCTTGCTGGTACCCTTCCCTCCCTGTACTACTCTACCATCGTGTGCTTAAACCCAAAAGGCCTGTGTAGTGTCCTTATTCTCTGGGCCCAGGTAAAAAAGAAGCATGAAAATAACATGCCTTTTGGTCACCGATCAAAAGATGAGCTTTGACTCCAGGGATATTTCTGACAAAAAATTCTGCCTTTGTCTTCACAGAAATTTCTCACTGTGGATTTACATGGAGACCCCAGAGAGGTGAGGACCTTTGTTTTCTTGATTATAGGTTTTGATTTCTTGCACCTTTAAGCTGCAATTCTCTATTCAAGAATGCATGCTTCTTCTTGGATGTGTATTGTTGAGGTCAAGGTAACACAGCCTGGAAGATCAGAGATAGGACTGAAATGCATTACCGTGATTCTCAGTGAAATGCTCATGTTCAGCAAACCTGTATAATCCGGGCTCAGTTACCTGTTTTTCATTCACATTTCTTGTATTAAAAAGGGCTTGTGAAAAAAGGCTTTACCAGAATCTTCTACTACCAAGAGGTGGGAGGAAACTAGATAAAGGGCTCAGGAACCTTGATTGAGGATGACCAGTCTCCTGGGAAGCCACGGGGTTGATTACTTATACAAGAAGGAGCCTTTTAGCACTCCAGAAACCCACATGATTCTCCCATTTCCTTCCTTCCAGTCACTGCCTATGGGGTTTTCAGGGTTTGGTCACATTAGCTGCAGCATATTACAATTCTATCCTCTTTGCTCCTTCCTGGAGATCAGAACACTTCCTCTTAAAGAACTTTGAAAGATAAAATTAGATTTATTTGAGTATTAGCAAGCGTATAAGAGGACATTTTGAATGGCATGGCCTGATTGTATATTTGGGCTATAGAAGTGGTGGATAATATTTATTGCCTTCTTAGAGCCTTCCATCTTGCTGAGCAGAATGCAGGAGAAACTCAAGTAAACTGCTCTTGTGTAACAATGGTCAGATAAAAGGTGAAAAAGTAAGGGCACACTGGCAATGGAATGGAACAGTGATGTCTAGGAATGGACTGATGAGTATCAGCTTTTGTGTCACTGTGACTACACATAATTTAAAGGAAAGGTTTATTTTTGGGTCACTTTCAGTGGGCTCAGTTCATGGTGAACTGGGTCCAAAGCAGAGATGTCCTGCTGGAAGGGGCGGGCAGAGGACAAGTGTTCACCACATGGCAGCCAGGAAGCACAGGAAGAAGAAAGGAGCCTGGATGAAACTATAGAAATGTCATTTCTAAGCAATGCCCCCCAGTAATTGGAGTCTTCCGATTTGACCAGGCCCTGACTCCAAACATGAGACTTTTACTGGACATTTTAGATCTTAATTGTAAGCATAGGTGCCATATGAGTCTACCTGTGGAGGAGGGCAGGAGCTAGTTCTCACGAAACCTAAATGAAAAGTGTTCCAGCAGAAGAAATGGAAGATGCAAAGGCCCTGACAGAGGAAGGCAATGTATTTGGAGAGGAGGCAGTGAGGGAAGGGCAGGCTAGAAACTGAAGAGAATTGGATTGTGACTCACCATGAGATAGTCAGGTGGTGCTCAGTAGGCTCTAAATACAGCAGCAGTGATATACATTAAATTTTACAAAAGTCTATGAGTGCAGTGTTGATGAGGTATTTAGAAGAAGCAAGACAGGTGCAGAGAGATCACCTGGGATGACGGTGATATGTAGCAGGCCAGTCAGGGAGTGCTTGTGGATTATATCAGGGCTGGAGCAAGTCGGTAGGATCCTGTTGTTTTTTTTTTTTTTTTTTTTTTTTTTTTTTTTTTTTTTGGCTTTTTCGTTTTTTTTTATCGGTACCAGGGATTGAACTCACGACTGCCTGCTTTCAAGGCCGGCGCTTATGCCGCTGAGCTAAATCCCCAGCCCCTGATCCTGTTGTTTTTGAGGGAAGCACTGACAGGATTTTCTGATGAACAGGATCTGGGGTGCAAGGAAAGGATAGGAGAAAGATGGCCCTGAATTTTCTATCCTAAGAAAAGAAATTGAGATGGCCTCTCAGGAAAGCCACCAATGTCCACTGAACAGACATTACTGTTGTTCTGTGGTTGCTGATATCAGTGTTTTCCCATGGATGCTTTTCATGGGTAATTTTTCTCATTGCTTGTCTTCTGCACTTTTTCTACCTTCTGCTTTCTCTTTTTCTCCACACTTCCATGGTCCATGATGTTATCAGACTTGTTCTAACTTGTAAACCAAGGTTAGCACATGTCATTCCCTTTCTTAAAAGCATGCTCTTGCTTACAAGACAAAGTGCTTCTACTCCACTGAGTTGGACTTCATAATATACTAAAGATCAAGGATGTGCCAGATATTATGCAAAAAATACGCTCCACTACCTGGCCATGGTACTTGTCTCTGCCCCAGGCATTCCTCCAAGCCCAGTGCTCATTAATGGTCCTGGGATTAACCAAGCATGTTGACATCTCTGTCCCATGCTTTTCCACTTTTGGAAAATTTATATCTTTATTTGGCAATAGCCTTCATCTCCAGATCCCAACTATGTCTAGCAATAACCTATTCCCGAAGGCAGTGCACGTATCTCTCTTCATGTGAGCTACTTGTCTTACTAGTTTCCGGAGCAGCCTTCTTTGAGCTCCATAGCCTGTATACAATAGCAGTATTTGCATCCAAACCTGCTCTGTATTGTTAGATGAATAAAACAGGGTTTGTCCTTTGTCTAGATCTTCTATTGCTCTTAAGTTTGGAATCAGTTTCATTTAGTTGCCTTGAGTGATAAGCTTAGTATCTTCAGCTATATAGATAGATAACATGCCACTGACTCTCAACAATTTGGAAATCTAGAAATTCACAATGTATGTGTTAACCCAAATCAGTACTTGTAAGACTTCTGTAGTCATCTGCAATGAACATATGTGTGGGACATCGAACAACTTTAGTCACAGCATACCCATGTACCCATGTGAGGTCCAAGAAAGTTATTTACTGCTCCTTTTCCTATACTAAGAAGTATTCTTTCTGTCATGGAAGTACCTCATTTTTGTGCTTTTGCTTTCATTAGTGATTTCTTGGTTTATAATGGTTCTCAAGTGTAGTTTTGAAGTGTTGTCTTCTATTCCTAGGCAAAGGCACCGGGATATACCATATAGAAAAACACATGAGATTGATAGGCTACATTCAGGGTTGACTTATGATTACCTTACCTGTGAGTCAGTGTTAATGAGTTAACAATGTTGTAAATTCAAGAGAAGAGAAAGTGATTTTCATATCTATGTGTGAGGCCATTCTGAAAATGGTAATGTAATGTATAGAACATGTGAAACAGCTGTGAAGAACATAGAAAAGCAGCTAAATGTGTGAACTCATGAGATAATAAATTTATAACAAGCACAGTAGATGGCACAGTTGAGAATCAAAAATCAAATAAATTAGAATTACCCAGGGTCATGATTTTTTTAAATTTTAAAAACAAAACAAAACAAAAAATGTAGAAACAATACAGAATTTCAAAAATTAAAATAGGAATTTAACACTAGTTAATATACTGCATACTGTTATCTTAGATGTAGTTGTTCAGGTTACAAGATTTAGGCTTGAAAAATGATCAAAGAATAAAAGCAGAAACTGATCTTTGTTGATGAACTTATACATTAGAAAATTTTTAGCCCTTCCCAATTGGTGTTTTATAATAAATATATTTTATATGTAACTAACGCTTTATAAGAAATTTGCATAATATAATGTGCCTTCAAATAAGTGCCCACCTATAAAATAAGAGTAATGAAAGTGATGAGAGCTAACTCTGGAATCTCCTTTGGAGTGATTACTCAGTATGTGCTCACTAGTGCAACATTCATTGTGATTTTAAATACATAACTATTACAAATCACCAGAATCAACTCATATATATTACAATATATATTGTAATAATGTGTATTTTAATTTGGTGATAATTTCTCTCTCCTTCTTCCAGCATCACCTCACCACTAGTTCCCCAAATTTCTGCCCTTAATGTCTCATAGACACAGATTTTTTTTTTAGGACCCTGAGTTTCTGTGTGAAATGTTCACCATCAGGGAAGTCTATTGTGTTGGCTCCATCTTTATTGAAGCAGCTGGAGAGAGAGAGAGAGAGAGAGAGAGAGAGAGAGAGAGAGAGAGAGAGAGATGAAGGGACACTGTAACCATAAACATTATGCTTTTCTCTTCCCTAGCATTATGGCTTACTGGGCACTGTGATAGATGGAGTGCTACTGCCCAAGATGCCTGAAGAGATGCTGGCTGAAAAGGATTTCAACACTGTCCCCTATATTGTAGGAATCAACAAGCAAGAGTTTGGCTGGGTCATTCCAATTGTGAGTATGCACAGCCCTCTTAGACAAATGCATCCCCTCCACACATTCCACCATCATTATCCTGGATTCTGGTTCCAGGAGATCATCCTTCTCAGAGTTTAGGACAACTCTCCATATTGGCACCAGTGGATATTTACCTAGGAGATTTTCCTGGGATGCACATTTGTCACCTGGGTAGTGCAAGGGAATCTTGAGAAGCTGAGGAGTCAAGGGGACATAGGCTGGACTGTTTCCAAAAATCTCCATTCGTATTTTCAGGCATCTCATAGGAAAGATTCAGAGAATATTTAACTTTGGAAATATTCTACTTGAGATAAGTTCATCCGCTAAAAGGAAAGAAGAACTTTTCCTAGTTCAAAGATTAACAAAGGTTTTTCACTATTTAAAATGCTAAGACAAGCTTTATTGAGTAATTTGATCACAATAGTAAAGAGATCAAGCATGACATAAACTCAAATCTTTAACACTAAAGGCTGGAGATGTTCAAGGCTAGGTGTGTTCAGAAAGGCACTCTTGATGTGAGGGGTGAGTACACATAGCCACATCACTGGATTTGTTTACCCAGGTTCTTCTGCAGCAGAAACAGACTTAGCTTAGGTGCAGGTTGAAGTGAGGCTACCACTGAACTTGGAATTGTTCTTCCCATGGAGACTTAGGTATATCAAGAGTTATCTTTCCAATTGTTTATGTATCAAGGAAGTTCAAAGCATTTTCCCCAAAATGTTAGCTCTTATGGCCTTGAGGAAACTGTTTTGCATCAAAGATTTACATTTCAGAGAACAGAGAAAAACTGATAATCATCTGTTTTCTTAGGTAACTTCTCTAAGGGAAGATTATAACCTTTGCATATGAGCAAGGATTCTCCTAGTGGTATTGAGCTTTCTCAAGACAGCATTTTAATGTCTAGGGTCATGTTAGGACTTTAACCTACAAGAAGATGGGCAGAACTTGGGCAAAGTCTTAGTCACAAAATTGGACAGAGTTGTCACATGATAAGAGTTCTAAAATTCTCACTTCAGAAGTACCTCAATGGTTGTGCCAAAGGATAAAAGTCATAATGGTGATTTTGTTTTCAGTCAGCTATGGTATATGGTCAGTATCCTCTGTCCTTGAGCCTTCTGATTCAATAATACCTTGGCCTAAATCCTAAATGATCCCTTGATGCCTGCCTGACCATTTTTATTTTGCAGCCATATCCAGATCTATCTAGTTATATATAAATCAGATATATCTATACCTTTTTATCACTATCTATATCTTTATCACTATATCTATATCTCCCCTCTTTGAGTTTCTGAGTCTCTCCATTTGTTGCATTGATATTTTCAAAGTAATGAATAACCTAGTCCTAGAAGTTTTCAATGCAGAAGCTTTATTATACATTGATTTTGTTCATTTCCTGGTATTTCATGATTACTCACAAATGATTGCTCATTCTATTACCAGTTGATGGGAAATTCAATCCCAGAAGGCAAGCTGGACCAGATGACGGCCACATCACTCTTGTGGAAGTTCTACTCCTTTGTTGTAAGCATGCAGGGAATCATGGGAATTAGGGGAACAACAAAGAAGGGCTGGGAGCTTATCACAAATTACAGACCAATTCAAAGGCAGACAAAGTACTGGAATCTGGGGTTTGACTCATTTTTCTGCCTTTCCCACTTTACTATCCAGGGAGGACATGCATAAGGCTCAAGAATTTCACCTTCAGTGAAGCCTTGTTGACTAGGTGGAGAATCTGCATTGCTAACCAGAGTGGGTGGTCATTGTCTTAATTCATTTCAGAATATTCCCGAGGAACTGACATCAGTGGCCACCGAGAGGTATTTAGGTGGGACAGATGACCCTGTCAAAAAGAGAGAGCTGTTCCTGGACTTAATGGCAGATTTGATGTTTGGTGTCCCATCTGTGGCTGTGGCCCGTGGCCATAGAGGTGAGTCCTGGAAGACAGATTCTTGCACACCATCTTTGGTCTCTGATCTGCTCACCTTCCATCTTGACAGATACAGAAAATTCTGAGGGTCAGAAACTGATTTTTTATGGCATGGGGACTGGCTCTATCTTGTTCTGCCTCTGCCAAGAGCTGACTCTGAGAAAAGGATCCAAATACAAATTGTTAATTTGGGAAGTGAACACAGAAAACATTAGCTGGGAGAGACAAGGAAATGAAATGAGTGGCAAATGGAAACCAAAATGATGCAGAGCTTAGCATGTGCCTATTATGCAAAATCAGAGGCAGAGAGTTATGGGAAACAAGCAGAAGGTACGTATTGGAGTTGTCCTGTCTGTGCAGCAATGAACCAGCCATATATTCACCAGTACTCACATGTCCTGATTGAAGGCTCTTCCAAGTGGTTGTAAATTTTATATTTTGATTTCTCACAAACATATACAAAGTAATTTATAGTGACTAGACAAAATCCTGAGAAAAATAGTTATAGATGCTAGAGGTGGAAACAAAATTGACCTGTCCAGAACCCAGGATACAGCAGCTCCTTCTCTGGGGTGAAGTAATATGTGGGACTAGATTGCAAATATTGGATAATGGGTCTTGGAACATTTTCAGAGTAAGAGGTATATTTAAGCTAGGTTTACTGGATCTGATGGACGAGTAGGAGTCAAGTATGGGATCAGGCCTGTTGTCCAGGAGTAAGAGCATCAAATAAATGCAGAAGGCAGTAGCTGGTGCAGGATGGGGGCAGGTCTGGTCATTTTTAATATCTGCTTGGTTTTTTTTCTGTATTGGTGTGTGCCAGGTTGGCAAGCTAAGGATCAGGATGGGGTTTATCACAGGACCTTCTGACACCGATCCAACGTTCTGCAGATGGGTGTTTGAATTTAAGGATGTGTTCTTTCTGAGTTCCATTTTAAAGCCGTCACAGAACTGTTTTTTTGTTACTTTTACTTCTCACTCAGCAAGTCTCAAGCCAATAAATTGTTTTTTATTCCAAACTCTTCTCCCTAACATTTTGGAAGGATTTTTAAGTCAGGACTTAATAAACTTAAAAGTAATTCTCATACTCCCCATTCAATTTTTCATTTTTGCAGTTGCATAACTTGAAATCCATTTAGGTTGACAGGTGAATACAATACAATATTTTGGAAAGAGAGAGAGAGAGAGAGAGAGAGAGAGAGAGAGACAGAGGATTCAGTTAATTTTTTTAGATTTTCAATTGACAAGTTACATATTTATAAGTTAATGTATAAATTTGTAACAAATTATAAACACAAACTACAATAATTATGAATATATTATGATTAGTGGATACAAATTTGAATAATTATATCTAGTTGATAAACACACACCCTAACTGAACATTTGTTGTAGTGAGAAAACAATATTTTTCTATAAATCTAATTGTACAGTACTCTATTATTAACTATATTCTTCAATACTAGATATTAAAACTAAAGAAGAACAAAAGAAGGAAAAATGTTTCTATGAGGTTTTGCACTTTTCACCATCTCTGTCCTCCACTCATACAGCCTATATCACCATCACTTTTTTTCTGGTTTTCAGTTATGTCTTAGAGTCATATATTAGTAGTAACATATGCTATTTTTCTTTCTTTGTGTGATTTATCTCACTTAAAATGTTTTCCAGTTTTATACATGTGGTCACAAAAGACAGACATTCTTCTCTTTTTAAGGCTAAAATAGTAATCCATTGTGTGTACAATACCACACCGTCATTACCCATTCTTCTATTAACAGACTCAGGTTGAGTTCATAACCTAACTGTGAATAGTGCTACAGTGAACATGGGGGTACAGACACACTACTTCAACAAACTCCTTTCAAATGCTTTGAGGAGTAACCTGTAAGTGAGATTGCTGGATCATATGGCAATTCTCATTTTAGTGTTCTGAGGAATTTCCTGTTTGTTTTACATTCACATAACAGTTTAACAGTGTCTCCTTTCTTGACCTATCTTGCCAAAACTTGCTATTTTTGTTTTCTTTTGTCTGTTTTGCTTTTGCTTTTTTTGATGTGAACCATTTTGAGGAGGGTTAAGTGATAGCTCATTGTGATTTTAACTTGCATTTTCCTAATTATTTAGCAGTATTGAGCATTTTAACAAGTTTTTTAAAAATTCATTTGTATGTCTTCTTTTGACCAATATCAATTCAGATCTTTTGCTTAATTATAGAAGTTTTTGTTTTCTTGCAACTGAGATGTTTGAACTCTTTACACATTTTGCATACTAAACATTTACTACATACCTGACCTCAAATTTTTTGTCTCAATCTATAGAGTTTCTTTGTGCATTCTTAATTGCTTTTCTTTCTGAATAGAAGGTTTTTAGATAGAGATAATTCCGTATTTTTTACTTGTGTTGCTTATGCTTTTTGGAGTTAAATCCAAAAGTATTATTTGATCAGATCATTATGATACATCCTATATTTTTCTAGTACTTTTTGAGTGTCTGATAGTGTATTTTAAACCTTAATTCAGTTTTATATAATGTACAATAAGAATCCAATTTCACCCATAACCATGTAGAAACCTAGTTTCCTCAGCACTATTTATTGGAGAGAAATTTTCTCAGTTCTCAGTTGAACTGTGTGTGTGTATAAGTGTATCAGTGTGTATCTGTAAATCTGTGTATGCATGCTTATAACCAGCACCATGATGTTTTAATTAAACCATAACCATGTTATAAACTCATATTAGTTTGGAAATCAAATATTTTGGTATCCTCAGATTTATTCTTTTTTTTTTTTTCTGTCTTTTTCCTTTTCATCGGTACCAGGGATCGAACTCACGACTGCCTGCTTGCAAGGCAGGCGCTTATGCCGCTGAGCTAAATCCACAGCCCCCCTCAGATTTATTCTTTATGCTCATGGTTGCCTTGAGGACTTATGATTTTTTGTGGTTTCATATAATTTTGAGTTTTGTTTTATATTTTCTTGAAGAACAACATTGGAATTGAGATAAGGATCTCATCTAACTAGTAGACTGTTTTGGATAGTTTGTTCCTTTTAACAGTATCCATTCTTTCTATTCATGGATATGGGATGCTTTTCCAACACTGGTGTCCTTCAGTTTCTTTCATCAGTGTTTTATAGTTTTCAGTGTACATGTATGATACAACCTGGGTTAAATTTATTCCTAGTTATTATTTTTATATCTAGTGTAAACCATATAATTCTCTTGTTTTTGTTCTGAATAGTTCATTCTTAGTGTATAAAAATGCTGCTGACTTTTGGGTATTAATTTTATTATGATATTCATTTATTTGTTCTATTTTGGTGAAGTTTGTAAGATTTTGTACTTACATCATCATGTCACCAGCAGACTGTAACAGCTTCAGATCTACATATCATTTTGGAAATCTATTGTTTCTTTCTCTTATCTGAATGCTTTGTCAAGGTCCTGAAATACAGAGGTCCCAACAAGGAGCACAATTGTCTTGCTCTAGATTCAAAAGGAAATGCTTTTAAGCTTTCACATATGAGAATAATGTGAGCAGCAGGTTTCTCAATATGACTTTTGTAATGTTAAGTTACATTTTGTATTGTAATTTCGTGAAAATTTTTATGACGAAAGGTATTGGTCTTTTCAAATTCTTTTTTTCTGCATGGAGGGGGATGATCATGGTTCTTGTCATTCAGTTTGTGTCAAGATATATCACAATTTTTGTATAGTATGGATAAATACTATTTGATTGTGGTAGATTATCTTCTTGTTGAATTCAATTTGTAGAATTCTGTGGAAGATCTTTACATCGATGTACAGAAAGGTTATTGGCCTCTAATTTTTTTTAGTCTAATGTATTTGCTTTACTTTAGTGTTAGTATACTAACATCATAAACACTAACATCATAAAAATAATTTTCAAATGTCTCTCTTAATTTCTTTTTGGGATGAAACTGAGATAAACATTCGAAGTCACCAATCTCCACTAGAAATTTTCTTTGATGGGGGAATTTTTGTCACAGATTCAATCTTATTATTAATCCATTCAGATTATCTCTGCCTCCTTGATTCAGTATTGGTAGGTCATAAAGCACTAGGATTTTATTCATTTTTCCTAGGTTATTAAGTTTGTGTGTATGTGATTTTAGTAGTTTCATGATAGTTCGTATTTTCTGTAATGTCAATTGTAAAAGCCTCCTCTTCCTTTTGAATACTTGTATTATGATTATAGAAATTTTATAAGCCTACATGATTTTAGGTTAAAAATATAAAAGAAAAGGATTTGGGGCAGCATACTGCCTAAAATGATTTCTCTCATTCATAAGAATTCTTTCTTTTATAATTGGATTTTGAGTTTCTTTCTAAAATAATTGAGTGACAGATGGAAGGGTCAGCAAAATGGTTCTGCTTTTTGTTTTTACTTTTTCTGCATTTTTAATTTTCAAACTATATTCATGAGAAGAAAAGAAAAATTCTTCACTGGCTTGATTGGTTCTTGAGCTTCCTTTTATTGGTTTTGCTTTTTTTGTGGGCAGTATGGTTGCAGCAAACTGACGAACTCTAAAAACAGGGTCCATTAGTAAGTCTTAAAGGGGCAGAAACTGGTGGCTTTCATGATTCAGTTGGCAGAAAATGTAGCATCTTGGGACTTGGAAATATTTCCTTTGTTGGTAAGAAAGCATGGCAAATGACAAGGCAAGAGAACCCAGGCTCTCTCTTTTTGCCATCACATTACCAACATAATGCCTTAAACTCCTTGACCAAAGAAGAAAACTGGACATATAAAGTCACTGCAACATTTCACTCTGAGTTTTGTGCTTTTCTGTAACACAGAAGACAGATTGTTGAATACCTGCATATATTTGTATTTAAGCATCCTCATTTTCAGAAAACAGCTTGATTTGCTTCAGTCTTCTCAGAAAGGATGAAACACTGAGCATAATTGAAAGTAAGACAAAGAAGACAAGGACCAGGTTGTAGACACTCAACAGGTAGTGCAAACATCATTATTCTTGACATGAATAAATACTAGTGAATTAACAGTAAAAGACATCTAAGGGTTTTCTCACTGCATTAATTCATTCTTTCATTCAATAAATATCTGATTCAATTCCAAATTTTACCTCAACCATCCAGTAGCCTTAAACCCATCAAGGAACTTTCCTGAAACTCTCTTTTGGTCCTTTGTGATAAGCATTTGTTTTCTAAAGAACCAAAGACCTTGAACCATCCATGTGTGTATCTGGTAATGTAAACAGAACACATTATCCATATCTTTTCAGATGCTGGAGCCCCAACCTACATGTATGAGTTCCAGTATCGACCAAGCTTCTCATCAGACTTGAAGCCCAAGACAGTGATAGGAGACCATGGGGATGAGATCTTCTCAGTGTTTGGGGCTCCATTTTTAAAAGGTAATGGCTCTCTGTTGGCTAAGATCTTGGAGTTAGAAGCTCTGGGTTCCATTCTTGGTTTGATGACTTGAGCAAGTTTCTCCTTCTCCCCCCATCTTAGGCTCCTGATTTCATGTTACAGGTTTCATCTTACAGGTTGAGCAACATTTCTCTTGTTCTAACATGCTTGGAGGAATATGTATATTTGTATGCCCCAGCCATAGTCACTCTAACCCTTCTGGTCTGTAATACCAAAAGAAAGGATAGTGCGCCATCTTTAGGGTCCTGCTTGAGGGCAAGCATGCCACTGTTAGAATAACCACTCACTGGAGCGTATTATAAGTGAGAAGTTAAAATTACTGCTAAGTTTGAACCAAATATCTTATATATCTATGTCTGTCATTTCATATATTTTAAATTCATATATCTTTGTCAATATTATGTATAATAATGATACTTAATGAAATCTTTTTCTAAATGCATTCAGTCTTTCAGTACCCTTTGACTTGTGTTCCACCTCATGTTCCTCATGATTCATGTGCCCCAAACACCTCTCACCTTTTGTTCCTTAAGATTCTTTACAGAGGTGATATTTCAGCATCTGCAAAAACATGGAAAGTGTGCAGGAAAATAAAATGAATACAACATCCAGTAATTCTATAAGGCACAGGAAACTCTAGGATGTGGGTGCTAGAGGTAGACACAGAAGACAAAGGCAGCCAGACTATAGATGGACATCGTGTCCATGGCTGAGTCCTATATATATGATTCTTAAGCTTAAATTGCACACCAAATAGCCAGGATCCTCTTACAATGTAGAGTTTTGATGTGGAGTAAATGCCACAAGTATGTATTTCTTAACTATCTCCAGTGCCACGATTATTGGTGGACCATCAGCCACACTTTGAGTGTTAAATGATTTTTTTCCTTTTTCTACACAGACGGTGCCTCTGAAGAGGAGATAAACCTCAGCAAGATGATGATGAAATTTTGGGCCAACTTTGCTCGGAATGGGTGAGGCTGTTGGTGAAGGCAGAAGAGAGTTGGAGGTGGTGTGTGTGATTAGGCATACTTGTGGGGATAGAGTGTCTTCTAGAACTGAGTGATCAAACCCTAAACCCTGACCACAACCCTCTGGTCATGACAATACACTGTAAATACACAAGATGCCCCAGGAGGATCTCCCTGTTTGTAGATCTTCATGGCCCTTGTTGTAGATCTAAACCAGGGAAAATTCAAAAATCTTAGGGAAAATGTGGGATCTACCAAGCTCTTTGGATACTTTCTAATCAATTCTGTTTCCAGGAATCCCAATGGGGAGGGACTACCTAACTGGCCAAAGTATGACCAAAAGGAAGGATACCTGCAGATTGGTGCCACCATCCAGGCTGCCCACAAACTGAAAGACAAAGAAGTGACCTTCTGGACCCAGCTTCTAGCCAAGAAGGCAGAAGCCACCTCAAGAAGCAGGCATTGAGCTCTGAATAGGAGGCTCACCTAGTTTCAGGAACCTGGAGCAATCAACACATTTGGATTGGACAGATCCCGTTTGCAGGCCAAAGTGGCATCTTATTTTAGAGGCTGAAGAATTGTTTGTTGGTATTGGGTAGAATCCAGTGATCGGTAACATTTTCACTCTAGTCCCAATTTGGAGATAAATGTTATTTTGGACAAAATAATCAGTATCTGTGTTATGAGGTGGAAATAAATCAATTATTCTCAAAGAGATAAGGATGACTTCTTCCTACAGGTGCTTGATGTAATCATACTTATGAGAATCTCTTTAAAAAGTTTATAAAAGTCCTAAAGACCAAGTGTAGACTAGAATGAGATTATGAAATTCTTGAGAACCACAGTTCTACTGGGGAGTTTACGCTTATCACAGACTCTTCTTCACCAATATGTGTCAGTTGCTTGTGAGAAAGATTTGGGGCAGGTAGGAAGATGAGAGAAAGCCTATCCTCATTGTGTGGCACAGAGTTATGCTCAGACTCTTTTCTGAAAAATAGAATTCTAAAGCCATTAGGCAAAGAGCAGTGAAAATGCACTTCCTCAGAACCTCTGTGAAGAACTTTTGAGGAAGAAAAAACAAAAATTTAAAAATTATTTCTTCCAATTTGGCATGAGAGGTTTCTGGATCAAAATCCTTAGAGATCTTTGGTTGCTGGAGAGGGGCAATTTCACTGAGAAAGACAGCTACAGGACCCAGGGTCCTCATCTTTCAGACTAGACCAGGATTATAGAAAGCATTCCTCAGTAGGTATCACTAGTTGCTAGGTACCATGTTAACAAAAACCTCCTTGTGCAATGTAAAAGTGATTCACATTCTTGACATTTGTCTGCTGAAAGTTTTGAATCTCAACATTTCCCTTGACCCCTCTTGATCTTTATCTGGAGAAGCTTTTAAGAAAGTCTGGATACCTCCTCCTTTGGAGTCAGTGGAAGATGCAAACCTCACAAATCTTACTATGTCCCCTCACCGAACGCATTGGTATCCATAGCCACTGCCTTTCTTTGCTCTCTTAAGCCATGTAGGCTTTTATTCTCCATACCAAATACTGCAAGAATGTGTGGAATAAATTTTTTCATCTTTTTTGGGGGAAGGAGTGTGGTATCATTAGTCTTGACTTGCAAAGCACACTGTTGATGAAAATACATTATAAACATACAGAAATAAGCCAAATGTAGGGAAAAAACAGATACACTGTGCAGATACTAAAATGGTTACATTTATTAGGCAAACAAATGTAGAAAAATTATTTGGAGGGATTATTCAAAATTTCAGTGATCAGGTTACTCTTCTGTGCAGATGAAGTAAAATTTTCTAGGGTCTCAGATAGGACCTGTACATCCATTCATTTTTTCAGTTTTCAGGCCTTCTGATGCACAGCTTTGATTCAGAATCACTGACTCTGACTGGCATGACATGTATATTTTCCAAGTTGGTGAAATAGCTTAGTGGCACAGCATTTGCCCGGCACGCACGAGGCCCTGAGTTTGATTTCCAGTACCCAAAACAAAAAACAAAAAAATCAAGTTGATGAGACTGGTCATATACAACATCCTATATATTTATGGGCAGAATTCAATAAGTAATTTTGGAAATGACTACTTTTGTTTATTGGTATTGTTTATTGCCCCCAGATTTGCAAAAGATAGAGTCAAATGCCAGCATTTTTGAATTATTTTTCTTATACTTTATGAATTTCTCTGTCTTTGTCACTGTCTCTTGGTTTCTTTCTGTCTCTCTTTCTGTCTCTGTCTGTCTGTCTCCCTCTTCTGGGGACTGAATTTAAGGCCTTGCCTACACTCTTAGCTACCTGCTCAGTTTTTTTTTTTTTTTTTCATTTTTGTTTTGAGACAGATTCTAGCTAAATCACTGATTTTCCACATAGGACTCAAACTGGCAATACTCCTGCCTCAGACTTCCAGAGTCCTAAAATTACAGGTATGGGCTATGATATTCAACTGTTCAAATACATTTTTTAAAAAAGCCACATGGTTTCATGCTCTTAAGCAATCAGACTATGTATTATATGTCATGGTCATGTCAATAGTTCCATCCTTCTAAGAACATAAAACATCCAATCATTTTCTTACTATAAAATTAAGATTTTGTTTTAAAAACTTTCCTGCTCTCTCTGATCGTGGACCCAATGAATTAGCTCACAAAACTTCAAGGAAAAACATAACTTCCCCTGTGTATTTCTCAGTGTCCAGTAGAGAGCAGCACTGTAACAGAGAAAGTGGGCTTCTCTTTGTGGTGAGGCTCCAGAGCTGTTGGCAGGGAGATATTTTGGTACTTGTACAGAACAGAAACCATACTAACACTTCAATTAGAAACCAATATCATATGATGTGTCATATTTCTCTACAACATTTGGGAAGAGGAAAAGGGAGTTCAGGTTAGGCCATTTGCTGTTGCTGTAATCTACTCCTCAAGGTTGGGTACTGTATAAGGAAAAGAGAATTATATATCTCTCATTTATGGAGATTTAAGAGCATGTTGCTGGCTTCTGCTTGCCTGCACTGGGGCTTTATAACTTTTCAATGGTCAGAGTATGTTCAGAAAAGAGCAGAACTGGCAAGGACCACACTTACTTTGTTTTATAATCTTCCTTTACTAGAACTATCCTGGTCATATGAAGACTATGTTGTACTACTCTGTCCTGAGCATGATGCTCTCAATGACTTAGTTATGTTCCAAGAAGCCTTCCTCTTAATTTTGTGAGACTCTTCTTGATTGTTGTACATGGTTGCAGTTTGTTCCTGATAAGTGTGTAAATTATTTATGGTGGAAATGAACTATCATTTGTTCATAAACAGTGAGCCTTTGCATAACGTATTAATCTGATCAAATGACCATAATGAGTTACCACAGGCAGTTTGGCTAAAGCAATACAAATTCATTTTATCATAGTGCTGCCTACTAGAGATTTCACACCAAAGTGCCAGATGATTTGATTCTGGTGAGGACTTTCTTTGTGGTTTGTAGCCCTTTTCACTTATTGAGCTATTATATGAATTTTGTTTTGTGAGTGTGTGTGTGTGTGTGTGTGTGCATGTGTGCTTGTGTGTGTATGTGTAAGGGGGAGGATCATTCTCATATCTGTTCTTCTTTGTAGCCCTTGAGATATTAGACTAATATAAGACTAATCTTGTTATCAAGATGCATAAATGTGGGTCTATTTATTTTCTAGAATATTTCTATTAATGAATTATTTAATTTTATGAATTTTACTTATAGTAAGCAATGAGTATTTAAAAGGAAAAATCACAAAAACAAAGTATTGAGGTTTTAATATTGTTGAGGTTTATTGTTTATAAAATTGCATCACAATTTTGAACATTGCCTAGTTTTTGGTATATGTCTAGATCATCAGAAATAAATTCCCATATGAACTACAATGAAAATATCAATAGCACTCTATAAAAAAATCTGTACTTCAGTCATCACACTGAAGATAGTTTACACAAATGACCACAGCATGTTCCATACACACATCACATGTCTTTTGCTTTCCTAGCCTTTTTGTTGAACATACTTAACATTGCAGTGGTCTTGCTGTTTTGTCAGAAGGCTTTTATTATATTGTATACTATGTAGTTAACAGGAACATAAAATATCAATAAGTAAATTATTAAATTCTTACTATGTATTGTGCATTTAGAATAGACATCAACTTTTTCATATCAGCTGTGTACTTATTTACAGCATCTAAAAGATAACATCAAAAATAAATTCTTGCATGAACTACAATGAAAATACCAGTAGAAATTTACCATAAAAATAAGCTTTGCTTCAACTGTCACACACAAGCCAGTCTTCATACATTGCAACTGAATGTCCCATGTACGTGTCTCCCTTACACTGACTGCATGTGTGCTTAACTCCCTTTTCTATGTGGCAGTCTTGTCACCTCTCTTCTATTCCTGTTTTGTCAGGAGCTTCCTACTATATTGCACAAGATGCACTTTTCAGGGAAATAAGATGTCCATAAAATACAATGTCAAATATGTAATGTGCTTAGAATAGACATCAATATTTTCACATCATCTGTTTACTTCCTTACAAAACTTAAAAGATTACATCAAAATTAAAAACTCATGTGAAGTCCAGTGTAAACACAAACAAAAGTCTACCTCAGAAATAAGCTTTGCTGTAACTGTCACAGCCAAGGCAGTCCACACACAGTTATCACTTACACTGAGAATATGTATGTTTTATTTTCCTGTACTTTTTTGTAGGGGGCAGTTGATATGTTTGTTTTCCTGTTGCCATAGTAGGTCCTTGTGATGCTGTGCCTGCCTGTCACCTATCAGCTCACCAGTGTGTCCCTCAATGTTTTTGCATAGTTCTTGTTGCAAAAACATTTTGGTTTTCCTCTACTATAAATGATCTCTTATCCTTTAAGAAAAATTTTCTGCGATATTTTGCACTTGTTATCCTTGTAAATTATCAAACTATTTATGCCACATACGTTTAGGATAAAGTAAGACACAACTACTGGCCAATGTTTTGCATTTCAAGTGACCTCATAGTTGCACAACTCATCAACAATGTGTACTCTGTCTTTGGTTTTGCTGCAGAAAGATCTCATCTCAGGCTTGTATTTTATCAAGATTTTCCTATTGTTGATATCAGTGTACCAGTTTGCTTTTTTTTGTCATATACAAGGCCAATATTATATCTTTCTGAAATTCAAACATTGTATTGTACAATTTTCTTCTTCAAAATTGCAGTATTTCATTTGGAATTTCTGCTTTGTTCCTGTGTACATTTTCTTGTGCTCTGTTAGTGAATGTAATATCAGTTGGTAAACCCAGTTGTTGAATATGACATTGCAACTATTTTGAGAGATGGGAGCAACAAGTCTGTTCATAACATCATTTGGTTTATTGCTATATGAATAAGGATTTCATGACTAAGTTTTGGAAAGACTAATGTGTTTGCAACTACAAGAGCAAAACATTTTTATGCCATATTCTAACTCATCACTTTTTTGTGTATCTTTTACATTCTTACAATCACTATGACAAATCTGTGCTAAGTACAGCAGACCTATGAATACTTTCAACTTAGTTAGGGAATTGTTATAATAAACACATTTTAACATGGCTATTAGTGCCTATAGAATGTTTTATTTGCACTTTAGCCTTTGTGTATTTCACAGCATCTTTTATTATTTTGACAGTTACAATTTTCAACATTGAATGTTAGTCCTGGAATT